GGGAACCTATCATCTGCTGTTACCAATCACCCAAGCACTGTCACATCACAGTGGGCGCGGAGCTATCTCAACATCTGCTGTTACCATCACCGCCATCACCATCAGCATCACCAGTGGGCGGAAGCTATCGGCAACATCTGCTGTTACCATCACCCCATCACTGTCACCCATCACCAGTGGCGCGGGGAAGCTATCGCCAACATCTGCTTGTTACAATCACCCCATCACCGTCAACATCACCACGTGGGCGGAAGCTATCGTCAACATCTGCTTGTTACCATCACCATCACCGTCACCATCACCTGTGGGCGGAAGCTATCGCCAAACATACTGCTGTCATCATCACCCCATCACCGTCACCAGCACCAGTGGACGGCGAACCTATCCATCTGCTGTTACCATCACCCCATCACCGTCACCATCACCACGTGGGCGCGGAACCTATCACCTACATCTGCTGTCATCATCACCCATCACCGTCACCATCACCAGTGAGCGGGGACCTATCCATCTGCTGTTACATCACCCGCATCACTGTCACATCACCAGTGGGCGCGGAACCTATCCATCGCTGTTACCTCACCCATCACTGTCACCATCACCAGTGAGCGGGAACCTATCCATCTGCTGTTACCATCACCCATCACTGTCACCATCACCAGTGGGCGGGAAGCTACTCGCCAACAACTGCTGTACCACACCCTGTCACGCTCAACATCACCAGTGCGCGCGAAGCTATCATCAACATCTGCTGTTACCATCACCCATCACCGTCACCATCACCAGTGAGCGGGAACCTATCCATCTGCTGTTACCATCACCCCATCACTGTCACCATCACCAGTGGGCGGGAACCTATCACCAACATCTGCTGTTACCCATCACCCATCACGTGTCACCATCACAGTGGGCGGGAAGCTATCTATCAACATCTGCTGTTACCATCACCCTGTCACCATCACCATCACAGTGGGCAGGAAGCTATCGCCAACAACTGCTGTTACCATCACCCATCACTGTCACCATCACCAGTGGGCGGGAAGCTATCGCAACAACTGCATGCTGACCAATCACCCATGCACTGTCACCATCACCAGTGGGCGCGAAGCTATTCAACATCTGCTGTTACCTCACCCTGTCACCATCACCATCACCAGTGGCAGAAGCTATCGTCTAGCATCACTGCCTGCTGCCTGCCTGCTGCCTGCTGTTAACGTAGCGCCGGCCCCCACTCAGTGTTATTTAGGGTACGCATATGCTCCGTTCCCTCCCTTTGAACAGCAGCCCCCCTATCTCAGGTACTGCCAAATTTTCTGAACCCCCCTTTCGCGGGCTTTTTGCGGTTTTTCTTGCCTTGGAGAACCCCCTAAATTCCGCGAACACTACGTATAGACTGGTCCCGTTCGCCATTTTCCACTCCGGTACGTATCCTTCGCTACACTGACGTAGTTGACGTTAGTGTAGCGTGTGGAACTGTCGACCGGGTACCAGTCTACACACGTAGTGTAGGTTCAGTGAGCGAGGGAACTAGGAGCAATATTTTTATTTTTCAAATGAAACAATCCTGAATGAGCTTTCAAAACTAGCAGGATTTCAGGAATTTGATCCCGGGATTTGATAAAGTTTTTCTATGATATTCAAGATGCAAAGAGAGAGAGAGGAAAAACACCTTTTTTAAAGAAATCTCCGGGTGAAAAGTCAAATACACCCCTTTTTTTTACAATTCTTGGCGGGATTTTGTCGCGCAAAAAATACTCCTTCGAACTCGGATGGGGCCGCGGTACGTAGTCAGGCAAAAAGCACTGTTCGTTTACGTAGTCTGTCGTCGCCGCTCGCCAGGTGTGCTGCTGCGGAGACAGGTGGCCGCTCCTGAAGGCGTCGTGGGTGAAAGAAGGGGGAGATCCTGCAGAGTAGTGAGTGATGCGATGTGTATGACATGTGTACTGCTTTTCTTCGCGCCCCACCGGCACCACCGTCACCACACAGCTAAACTTGTGTGCGCAGCGCGCGTGAGAGGCTAGCAGCATTGCTGTTCTCCGTGCACGTACACGCACGCACGCGCACATGTCCACACACACACACACACGCACGCACGCACGCACGCACGCACGCACGCACGCACGCACGCACACACACACACACACGCGCGCCGCACACACACACTCGCGCACACACACGCGCGCGCACACGCACACACACACACACACTCGCACACACACGCGCACGCACATTAGACTCATAGTTCCGTGCCAGGGGATGTTAGTAACGCGGTGGTTCACTCATACATATCATTCATTCATTCATTAATTTATTCATTCATTCACTCATTCACTTACTCATTCACTTACTCATTCATTCATTCATTCATGCATTCATTCATTCCTTTATTCACTTGTCCTCTCATTCATCGTCATGCACGGACATGTGTCGGTGGTGATCTAATACAATCAGAGGCAGACAGTAAATGAGATTACGTCGATGGTCGGCCATGATAATGCATCATGATGGTGATCAATACCCCGATAGCAGCTAGTTGTCTCATCACTATTCATCACCACACGTACGTGAGTGCTGCTATACGACTCATCTCACTCTACCCCCTCCTCTGCCTCTGCTGCCCATACCCCACCCTCTCACCCCCTTCCCCTTCACTCCTTCCATGTCCCCAGATGACTCCGCTATGTGTATGTTGTCGCTACGTAATATGTATTTAAAAAAATATTAAGAGCTAATAATACCTAATAAAAGTATTATTAGTTCTTGAAAATATGTACATACATGTGTGTGTTCTGTTTTGCATCAATATGAGTGCATGCACCTCATTTCTGACATACAGAACCCCACGCTTCACATCCTTCTCTCCCCACCCCCTTCCCTCCCCCTACCTCCTCCTTCCATCTTCCCTCCTCCCGTCCCCATAACGCTGTATATGTTGGTGCAACATTATATGCATGTGCATCATATATAAACATGTGTTTGTGTGTTATACTCTGCAGCAATATGAGTGCATGAACCACATCGCTGTCATACAGAAGACGGGACAGGGCAAGCTGTACGTGTGTGGCACCAACTCATTTAAACCCAAGGACTGGCTGTTCGAGGTAAGCTTCATACACATCGCCAGATTTCCCACCTCAAACATAACAGTGCGGTACGTCCAATGCCACTGTGCTAATATATGATATTATATATCATGTTTTATTATATATGATATTAATCCTTATCGAAAATTACGTATTTAGGTAGTAAGTGTAGATTTGAAAATATCCATGTATCTCGTACTGTTATATGCACGTGTAGGCAGGCAGTGAAGAGGCAGAATGAGGCTGAATTATTGATGCATTGTGATTAGTGAATTGTGAATTTCAAGTTAACAGATGGGAATCTGTTAGAAAACAATTTAAATTTTACATCTCATTGCACTGCTGTAACAATTTCATTACTGTGTTATGTATAAAGCCTGTGAGGGCATGACGTGCAAGCGTCAACCGATCCGTCAGCTTTCCAATTTCCTTTAGCAGATGCCAGCTGTAATCAAGCAGTTCAGACATGAAAGGTGTAGACTAAATTACCACATATGAATATAAAATAATACACTAACTTAAACTACCTGCAAATTTCTTTCACACACCACCCTTTCTGTGACGTCGATCAATCACGGGTGCATTAAGAGACGACGTCATGCGACGGGCAGACGAACTATGATTATTCAGCATGAATTCATCGTCGACATTCTCTGAGGGGTTGATCTGTGTAAGCTACGGCTACAGACATCCCGATCATTAAATCTGTCTGCCCGCGCAGCTAACGTGCGTAATTTGTAACAAATCACGATGGAACTCACATGAATAATAAATTGAACTGCTGAACTGTGACTGCTATAACCCTGGATAAGTGACTGTGAATACGAATAGCATTCCCACGTTACCTAGAAGAAAATCTTAATAGAAAATTGCCTTTTGCCGCATTTTGTAAGATAGGGGCGGTAAGCTTCCTACACACATCTATTGCTGACGTCACGTCCTTGCCAACAAACAACAAATGCGGTGGTATTAAGACTTCGTATGCAAATTTGTTAGAATAAACCTAGTTTCGAGTAATTTTTAACACTGGTACGTGCCATATACATCCACGCGCAAACGCACAACTATAAAAAAATTATTCAACTATAAAACTTCTACTAGATTCTGCGTTTGACTGCGGCTCCTTTCAATAGGGAAAGCGTCATTGATGAGGCGTTTTTTTCCTCGGTCTTCAACAATGCTGCCCGTTAGAAATGCGGAGTAAGACAGCGGTGTATAGGTTACGCTCGGTGTTACGGCTTATGCTAATCCAGGAGCATTATTCATGTATGCGTTTTGTATCAATCTGCGAGTACGGGTTTTCTCTCGGTCCGTTCGTATTCTTTGCAGCCGCGTCTTTACATATATTCATGTCCGTGAGTCAATCTTTCTCTCTCTCTCTCTGTCTCGCTCTCTCTCTCACTGCCTCTTCATTCCCTCCCACATCCATCGCTATTGTTCGTTTTCCATCTCGCTCCTTCTTTCTGTCTCCCTCCTCTCTCCCTCTCTCTCTCTCTCTCTCTCTCTCTCTCTCTCTCTCTCTCTCTCTCTCTCTCTCTC